GCAATTATTGCAAATATTTAATCAAATTGTTCAGGGCTGTTCAAAGGTATTCAGAAATGAAAAATGAAAAAAAGAATTGTCAACCACATCACAATTCGGCATGGGTTTAATAAATCTCTAAGAAGCAAAAATCGACGTTTACTGATTTAAATAAAGAAAATGAAAGAACAGGATTCAGAGATGAAAATAAAATTTTTGCAAATGGAGCAAAATATTTTTGATAAGAAATTAAATTATTTATTTGAAGCGCAAAGAAATTTGTTTTAGAATTTTAAATTTGTCATGCTCCAAGTCAGCAAAACGAAGAAGATATGCACACCAGTGGGTTAGGTCTTGTATGCTCTTTTACATGAAAAGTTCTCCAACTTACGAATATCTGAGAAGAAATAATATATTACCCATGGTACATACAAGAAGACATGGTATGCTACTCCGGTGGATGAATTTTCGTCTGCTTTGCGCACCAACCACGTGACGTCACATTGCCTTAGAAACCGTGCTTGAAACGCTACTCTGACAACTTCGAAAGTTGTCAAATGTCAATTTATCAGTGATATCTGAGATTATAACGGAGGTTGAGATTTGGTCCAGTTTTAATCATTGGTTAACTTATTTTCGAAGGTGCTAAGTTGAATTCAGATGCTAATAACATGTGTTCAAAATTTGGGATTGTTCGTTGTTGGTGATAATACAAACATGCAACAGACAAGTGGAATATTAAGATTAAGAGATACAATAAGTGAATTACAAAAAAAATCGCATGCCAAAATAAATTAATAAATCATTTACATGGTAGAAATGTACGCAAAGATATTCGTATTGACAATTTGAAGAAGAAAATTGTCAATACGAATATTTGTCAAAGAATCTGTCAATACAACAATACTCAGTGCTATGGATTTTGGAAAAAATGAAGAACTCATTACTCGAATGTGGTGTACTATTAACAATTTGCCAATACCAAAGCAATATGGACAAGAGATAAGAAGGTTTGGCTTTACCTTACATTTTTATTCGCCAAAAGCTTATATTTTTGTTCAACAAAAGTTAGAAAAAGTCTTGCCGCATGTTAAAACTTTCACTCTCATTGTATTCTTCTGTTGACGGTTCTCCAAAGTTCACAAAGGAAATTTTTAATATGTTAACGCTAAAGTGTGAAAAGTTACCAGCAGGTGGCAAACTTCTCAGTTCTTTATCATTTGATGAAAATGCAATCCGCCAACATTATTTAGAGTTTGATCGGAAAAACATGTATGGATACGTTGATATGGGGATTGAAACTAAGAACAAAGCATTATTATAGAAATAAAAACTTCTCTAAAGAACCAACAATAAAAAGTAGTTAAACTAAATTAATTCATTTTAAAGGTCAATACTTAATTCTTTCCCAATCCTTTTAAATAAGTATTAATTTCATTTTATTTAATTTAAAACACTTCAGTATAATTAAACAACTTTTATTTTATTCGCAGTATTGTGTAAGTGGCTGAATGACGACTAAAAGTCTAGATTTATTCTTTTTTTGTTTTGGTAACTATGTATTTTGTGCTATTTGTAAATAAATAAAAATTTAATTTGTATTTGTCAATCACAATATTTGAGCCTATCTGCCTACCAGATGTTACCCCGCCACTGGTTACGAGTGCTAAACATTTAGAGGGCGAAGCTTAGCATGATGCGCATTTCAAGTAGGGTCATAAACGGTGTCCGAGTCTCTGCCACAAAATTCACGACATCTTCCCTCCAGTCTTTTCAACCTCCGTGGTTTTTTCAGATACTTACCCTTATTTATTCAAAAAATGTATAAAAAATCGAATGTTCTCTCATTTAATGGTACCTAATTCTTCATATGAACTTGATGTAAAAATTAGGTGGTTCAGCACTCAGCCAATTATTTATTTTTATTTATACTATTTTGATGGTACGCACTTATTAGTGTTAATACTACCAGAAACTGAATCAGCTGTTTTTTGAGCCTAAAATTCTTGATTGTTGACCGTTATTATTGGAATTAAATTGTTTTCAAGCTTCTAGAATTGGTTTGTTTGTTGTTACCAACCTCCGGTGTTATTATCCCCTGATGAATTTAAAGATGGGTTTATATGGGTTCGATTTGGTCGAAATATCATACAGGGTGTTATTGAAAGGTACGTACAACAAAATGGACAGTTCTTCGCGAAGTCTAAGAAGTCGGAAAAATTTATTGTGTTATCAAAATTATAAGGGGAAAATTAACCCTTATCCAACCTTTTTAGATGCTACTGAAGGATAAATAGGTAAAATTAATTTATTTTAGTAAATCCTAGCAACTGTAACAATAAAACTTTTGTCAAGACTAAATGTTGCTATAGAAACGAAAGATGATCTTTTTATCAGAAGCGTACAACGAATTTGGACATAAATTTTAATAATTTTTATCTCTAAAAGGAGAACACTTTTACCTGAATTTTTTTTAACTTTTTTTATTTTATACGTACCTTTTAATAACAGGCTGTATAAACCCATCTTTAACTTGGGTTTTAAATTGTATGAAATATCCTACACATGTAATTTATGATTCCGTATTTTTCCTTTACGTTTCCTACTCGAAACGTCCAGATTTTTGGAAAAAAAAATCAAAATTATGAAACAACATTTTGCAATTTAATTTTGAATCTGCAAAACCGAATTCTTTGAAATCTTGCAGATGTTTTACAGTTATATTAAGCATAATAAACGTTTAATCAAAATATTATACTTATCCCCTCCAAAAAATTGACGTCAGCTCAAAATGTTGCCGAATAAATCTTATCTAAATTGTACAAAATATGATGAGTCTGTCCGTGTAATTTATCATTCCTTTCACATTTTTTGGATTTGCATATACAGGGTGACTCAAAAAATTAGTGAATGCGTGAATTTATTTTATTGATTTAATCAGGAACTACAAAACCGAATGTTTTGAAATCTTGGAGATGTTTTCAAGTTATCATAGGCATGGTAAATTTTTAATCAAAATATATTTGCAAAATATGATGGGTTGTTACTTGTGATTTATCATTGCATTCATATTTTTTAGATTTGCTTAAACAGGTGTCTTAAAAAAAATAATAACTGAGTCAAATTATTTTATTGATTAAATCAAGAATTGCAAAACTGAATACTTTGAAATATTGCAGACTTTTTGAAGTTATTGTAAGCATAACAATTTTTTTACTTTTACCATCATATTACACAGGTACTATGAGGGACGTGGAACCCTGGGCAGTCTGTTATTGTGATTTCAAAAAATGTCAATATAAATGCACCTTTAGCGTCAACATAATTGATATTTTCGAAAAAAACTGTCAAATTAACTTTGAAATATATCAATTTGTTCAACATGCCAGCTGTATCAATTGTTAACAAATCTCGAGTAGTAGCTCTTATTCAAAACGGCAAGTCTCCGTGACTTTGAGGATTCCAAAAAGCACGGTGAATTTGATCGTGCAGAAATAGAGCCGAGAGCAGACTGTGGAACGTCGTCCAAGCTCAGGGGGACATCTGGTTTCTACACTTGACGAAGACGAATTGAAGCTTTGCTTGATATAATCAGAGAGCCCTTTTACCAGTGCTGCTGAAGCAACTATAATTACCAATTTTCCGGGCAATGTCAAAACTGCTCGTCGTCGTTTGAGGACAGCAGGCATTCGCAACTACGAGAATCATTGAAAGCACACAGTGCTGTATGTTAATATAATTGAAACAAATTTAATAAAACTTCGACTTTGTCAGTGTCAAAGTGACAAATACGCCAAACATGAAAAGCGTGGTTATGAGTAGCTAAGGTCTGGTTCAGAAATTTTGACAATTGTATGACACCTCTGCACAGTTTTCCGTGTCCCCGATGGTACATATTTTTATTTTGACTTACAAGGGTTATCATAAAAAAAATAAAATTCCCAAAATCAAATCTTATAAGTTAATCAAAAAGTTGGATTTCTTCTACTTTACTGTTATATTAGTTATATATTTCTAATAACTAATGTGGCATGGAATATAGCACGTTTAGTGACTCACCCTATACATATATGACGAATGTGATTTGTGGTTAACGACAACCCAAAATACGCTATTCATTTATTCCTTGATTCGTAGTAGAATTTAAAAAATAGTTCCACGAAGTCTGTGGTTTTAAAAATGACAAATTGGAATCATTTAGCAGCTGTTTCCGAACAAAATTGTAAAGTGCCAGTCTTCGTGTGAAGTCAGTCTCTCGTGATTCATGAACTAACTGCATATGATTGGGGTGCAACTTGTTAGCCTTTAACATTCGACAAACAGAAGATAGACTTATGCCAATTTCTCTCGCACTTACCCGCTGCCTACTGTGAGGATTTTCTAAAACAGTCTCCAAAACTCGGATCTAGTTGCTCAAATGCGGAGCGGTTAACCACTTCTTCGTTTACACAAAGGACAATCGTTTCGTAATTTCATTTCAAGTCTTTTGAAAATTTTATGTGTTGGATATGTACGTTCGGGAATCTCTGGGCGTACAAATTTGCCGCTACTACACACATTTTTTGACACTCTTCATAAATTAAGATCGAGTCCGTTTCCTCCGTAATGGTAAACGAATATCTTGGCATTTTTCCAAATAATTTTCAACTGCCCAAAGTTGACAGTGCCATAAGAATGCACAGTTGGATCAGTAGGATTCATGATATTTTTTAAACTCTACTGTGAATCAAGGAATAGAAAACTAATGTATTTTGGGGTGCCTATCAGAACAAGTCAAATTCGTCATTTACGCTGAATTACCTGTATATACAAAATAGGTAATTTTACGGACGAGTAGCAAAAACACTGAGATCAATACACAAACCTGGTTTTTTATGAAAGTGGAAATTCAAAATAAATATCATCACAAACGTCCAGATATTTCTAATTTTTACCTACACAACAATTGCAATAGGTATTTATTTAATATTTTCTTTAAAATTAAAAAGAATTGAGCAAACCATTAATTACTGAAAACTTACCAAATAAAATCTTTGCAGTGGGAACAAAACGTTGGTTGTTTGAAAAACCTGGGAATGAATCTATGGCCTTTAACATTATACACATTTTTCTTTTTCAGGGCACCTTTCCTTCCTCGCAGTCGCAAACCAAATTTCGTATTGAGATCACTTCCTTCTTCGTTTAAATCTTCTTCTGCCATATTTTGCAACTATTTCAAATAAACAACATATGACAAAGTAATACAACACACAGTACACTGCCCGTCAAATGTCAATATTCAGGTGCCCGTCCTGTATCTATCTGTTCTATTGAAGTATATTTAGGTGCAACAGTTGTGTACGAACGTCCGTTTCGCTGTGGCAGGAACTCTTTCTGGGGACACCCCACCCATGTGCTAAACGAAGCTAGAGAATGGATGTCGTAGCAAATAACGTTGCGCAATCGCATTGATTACTTTTCCGATTGGAACGAACCATTACGCTCTTACCTTACCCTTTATGCTGTCCTTTTTGCTATTGTTTCTCATCTTTTGCAACGTACACTATGCACTCTCACTTGGGAACAACCAAATTTAACTCAGCAACAAAATCGTCATAAACACATCTAAGCGCCAGCAGAATCTTGTTGTCATTTTAATATTGTTTATCTTTTTTTTTAAATTCACCATTACGCCAAACGAATAATTCAGTTGAGACGCAAGGAAGATCATTTAATTGCAGAATGGCAAAATCGTATATACAGTATTTTAACAATACAGTACAATCGTTTAGTGTAATTTTAATCGTAAAAACAAACTATAGCGGTCAATTACGAAAGTAATTAATTTATAATTTTGATACAAAGGACTTCTACATTTGAATTTAAACAATCCTAAATATTTTTCACTATAACTTAAAGCAAATAACACTATCATTTATTTTCCTTTCATTTAGTAGGATAAAACAAGAATAAAAATTCACCGCTAAAAGTTATCAAGTAGCCGATGAGAAACAGCATTTAATAACTTTTACTTTAATTTGGCAAAGTTTATTTTGTTTTTAATGTTAGTCTGTAGTACACTACGTATTGTCTGTGGTATTATCGCTTTGCAAATTAAAGATGTCAATTTTCCGTTGTTAAATTTTGGATTGCTTGCAAAGCTAGAACGATGTATTAGGTATATTATATTATATTCAAGTGAATTTCCTTTCAAAGAAGAAGAATTTATTTCATTTTGCCTTGTTATTTTCGTTATACGAAGTTAATTTCATTTGTCTTTATATTTATTTCGGGAAATTAATTATTTTGATTAAATGTAGGTAGCTGTGCAGCAGACTCTGGCAAGAAATTCATCTTCATCTACAGGGAGCCAAACCGCGACCGTTTAATAAATAGGTCGATACACTAGCATACATACGTGTATCCCTGGTCGGCGACGCCGATCGCGACGCCTGATTTTGGTAACGCTGATTCTGTGGACATCTATTGGTGACTGATATAATTACTAAAAGAAATTATACTTATCGATTTCGATTAATTGTAATGTATAGTAAAGTCATTGAGGTTGTACCCTATTAAAATTTTATTGGACCAATACACCAATACATCAAAAAATTTCGATTACCGAACCGTAATTGTGCAGACACAATATGACCGGTCCTGTGCGTACAGTCGACACGAGCCTTTTTCGGCTGTAAATCTTTCTCCAATTGTTAATGTACCGATGCTCGTCCCCTTCATATAATTTTACTAGGGTACAAGTCGGACGAGTTTATTATACTGTATTGTTAATTTTCATTTATTATATATGTAAAATAACGCTTGCGAAGTGTGCCCCGCACACGTGCGGCGTGCGGCCGACGACAGAGAGCGGCGATAAGGTCCAATTATTCCAATTAGAAAAAAAAAATGCAATGCTAAATGATAAATGATATATAAAGGGGTGGGTCTTGATCTGAACATTTTGGTCCGAACAAACCAAACGCACAGAACAAACGCAAATGATCCGCGCAAATGATCTGTTTTTGAGGCATTTGCTGTGTTCGCCGCGTTCCCACTGCATTTCCAGGATTCTCGCAGATTTGAAACATAGATGACGTTATAGTGGCTGCAAGTGCATTTTTCTGATTCATTCCCTGACCAAGAAGAAGAAGAAAAAAATTGGTCTAAAGAGTTTAGACAGTACTTCCCTCGCTGTCGGAAACTTGACGACTGCATGCCTATTGTGTTTTTTTTTCTCATTACATTTTTGTAGTGGGAATTTAAAAAAAAATTGTGATGACGTCATCAACATTTTTGCAAGGACACGTAATATCAGTTGGGATAGATGTAGTGTAATACTAAGAATAAAATTATTGTATTCCCAAATTTTCGGGAAAATGAATTGGGTCGTTTTGAATATTGATTTCTTATAATGAATAAAATAACGAAACAATTTACTCACGTATACGGCGCCGGTGCGTAATATCTAGAGAGCGGATTTCTGTCGGGCTAGGCAAGGCCAAACTCGGTACGGCTCGTACGGGATGCGAATTCATTGCGGTTGCGGACTGCACTTCGTTTATTTGAGATTAGAATAACGCTGTTTCGTTGCACTCTGCTGTTAATTCCCGTTCTCATTTACTTAGCCGTTTGATTAATAAATCGTTAATTATATTTATGGAATTAGTACCGATTAAATTCAGTGATTATCTATCACCCGGCGATCCAGCACGTCCCCCCCTATAATCGTGACGTAGCCCGACAGAAATCCGCTGTCTAGTAATATGAGGGGCAACTGAAAATCGTTTATGTATAAACATTCTTAATTTAAGATGACAAGCGTAACAGCATACGTGAGAGTCAAACAGAGAAACTGTAAACAAAACGACCATCGGTTTTATTGCTTCGACTTCCGCTTATTATATAAAACATTGGGTTTTATTTTAATTCTTGACGGTGAAATTCACAATTGGTTGATTATAAACATGTCTATTCCACATTCGCGGAACCAAGTGAGCGCATAAAACAAATGCAGGTCTGTAATGTTAAAGTCGATGTAAATAAGCGTGCTACCCTTATGTTTCAACCGAGTTTTTCCTTTAACAAATTTTGTGTCTACCAAATTGGGTTGGTTGGGTAATAAGTGTTGCCTTTAATTTAATCAATAAAATAAATTGACTTCATTAATTTTTTTGAACCACCTCTTAAGAAAATCTAAAAAATATGAATGGAATGATAAATCACAAGTACAAACTCATCATATTTTTTGCATTTTAGATAGGATTTATTCAGCAAAATTTAAGGGTGACGTCATCAATTTTTTTAGGAGGGATGAACAAATACATTTTGAACAAAAGTTTACCATGCTTATAATAACTTTAAAATATTCCCAAGATTTCAAGGCATTCGGTTTTGTAATTCCTGATTAAATCGATAAAATAAATTCACGCATTCATTAATTTTTTTGAGTCACCCTGCATATGCAAATCCAAAAATATGAATGGAATGATAAATCACAAGTACAGACTCATCATATTTTGTACATTTTAGATACGATTTATTCGGCAAACTTTTGAGCTGACGTCATCAGTTTTTTGTAGAAGATCACCAAATATATTTTGACTAAAAATTTATTATGCTCTTTATAACCTTAAAACATCTGCAAGATTTCAAAGCATACGGTGTTGTAGTTCCTGATTAAATCAATAAAATAAATTTACGCATTCATTAATTTTTTTGAGTCACCCTGTATATGCAAATCGAAAAAAATTGAATGGAATGATAAATCACAAGAAGAGACTCACCATATTTTGTACATTTTAGATAGGATTTATTCAGCAAAATTTTGGGGTGACGTCAACAATTTTTTGGAGGGGATGACTAAATATATTGTGATTAAAATTTTATCATGCTTGTCATAACTGTAAACCATCTGCAAGATTTCAAATCATTCAGTTATGTAGATTCCAAATTAAATGCCAAAATGTTGTTCCCGAATTTTGATTTTTTTTCCCAAAAATCTGGACGTTTCGGGTAAAATCTCAATTCGGAGTCATAAATTACATGTGTAAGACTATGTTATTTGATACAATTTAAAAGCCAATTACTATGTACAATTTTGAAGTGACGTCATCACATTAGTGGTGGGGATGATTAGACAAATTTTGGTTATCGTTTTACCATCTACATGATATAGCTAATATAAATACAAAATTTGACAACAATCGACCTAGTACTTTCGGAGATTATCTGTCTAATAAAAATCCGGAACGGCAGACAGACGGACAGACGGACAGACGGACAGCCGGGCAGACGGACAGACGGACAGACGGATAGACAGACGGAAACGGGAGACCTATTTCATCGTCTTCTAGGGGTCATGAAAGATCGAGAAAATGTAAAACTAGAGAGTCGGCCGACGGACTCGATTACAATAATTCCTTTGCTTACGCTCAAGAAGTAATAACGAAGAAAATATGACCGAGACGTCTATTTTCAAGGCGCATTACTGAGAAACATGGACTGTGGGCATTTGAAAAATTTTACTCGCATGCCAGCAGAAGATTTTGAAATGTAATATAAACTATGTCTAGGATTCCATAATATGGAATATTTCTCATACTGATCGATTAATTCTAAACATTTATCTCTATTGCAATGTGCACCAACGAACCAATGCCCGGCTTTGATCTGACCACATTTACCGACAGCCGATGGAAAATGTTTGGCGCATTCTGTTCGGCGCAGAGTCCTGACTAGATGAATTCGTATAGTGGTCCAACTCTGACTTCGTTTTTATGGCACTGCAATGTCAATTACCGCAAGTATTAGGACCTCTATTGAAAATGTAAATAGCCGTGCCATAAGTAACCAAGATACTGACTGCGACGTCAGTATCTGCCTATACTTCGGTTGATTAAGAGTAAAAATACCACTATAAGGAAGCAATGGAACTTTCGTAATAACATCAGTAATGTGTTTGTTATAATATCAGCATAAATCCACAATGGACAATCATTCTGCAGACCCATATTCTGCCACGTGCAAGATACGCTTCCACACTTGCATCAATATCAACATGAGAACTCCAATTCTGCAGTTTTCCTCGTTATAAAAGACATCGGAATCATTCATTTTTCAGTTCAGAAGTATCGGTCATCCGTGTAGTTTAGTTCAGAAGTCGCCACCGTGAAATTTATTTAAGCCCGTCATAACCGCGCTCTCCCAATAAGTTGTAATTATCTAAGTGAATAATTGTGAAGTGATAATTGTGATAACTGTGAATAATCAATATTTAACAAGCCAATAATAAATAATCAAGTGTAATAATAAGAATTGTGAACAAAATAAAAGTTCTTTTTTAAAAACAAGTTTATTATTAAACCATTAAACTTAAGTGGCGCAGTCGCATGGATCGTGTTAAGAAACAAAAGTCGTTCGAGGCCGATTTCAAAAAA